TGGATTGCAGCTTAATGTTGATTCATGGGCACACAAGCCTTAAGTCACAATACCCATAGGACAAGTTTCCTAAATACAATAAGGAGAAAACAAATTCTGAATTACAGACTATTTCTTCTTTCTTCTATCTGTGTTGCTTTTATTGGTATTACTCTGGAAGAAATAATTTTGCTTTCTGTAGTAGTTACTATTTTTTGTGAGAGATGCCAATGCTTTTGGAGAAGATTAAATACTTACTTAGAACAGGTTCTTTTGAAGAGAAATATGTTAAATCTAGGAAAGATCACTAGAAACTTCTCCCTGAAAATTACTTCAATGCTACTACTAACATGGGATGACAACATTATACTATTGGCTATATGACAGCCAGTTGGATATTTCAAATAGACATCTCATATTCCAAATGCCTAAAAAAAATCCTTTCTCAGCAGCTAGGTGGCTCAGTGGATAGAACACAGGCCCTGGAGTCAGGAGGACTTGAGTTCAATTCTGGCCTCAGACACTTGACACTAGCTGTGTGACCCTGGGCAAGTCACTTACCTCCCCCCCCGACTAGCTGAGCAAAAAAAAAGTTATCTTTTCTCCCTAAAATCCACTTCTTTTTAAAACATTCCTTTATTCTCAAGGATACCACTTTCCTCTTAGTCACCCAGTTTACAACCTCTGTGTCATCTTTGATTCTTCATTCTTACTCATCCCACATATCCAATTGAGTTCCAAATCTTACTGATTCTATGTTTACAATATCACTTACATTATTTTTATCTACTTACATGGCCACTGCTGTAATTCAACCCCTTATCAGCTGTCAGTTTAACCATTGCAAAAGCCTTTTAATTGGGCCTCCCAACCTACAATTTTTCAATACTCTAAATTAGCCTCTACATAGTTACCAAGTCATATTAACATATTAAAAGTATGTATCTTATATCATTTCCCTACTCAATATATTTCAGTAACTCTCTGTTACTTCTAGGTTAAATATAAATCTTTCTATTTGACATTTATGTCTTCACAACTAGGCTCCATCCTATATTCCTAAACTTATTCTATATTGCTCTCCACCCATTTTATAGTCTTGCCAAGTGGGACATTTTGCTGTTCCTCATGCCACATGAACTTCCTTCTCCTATCTCCATAACTTGGTCCAAGCTATCCTCCATTCTTGGAATTTATACCCCTTCATCTCTGCCTAATAGAATTCCTAGATCCCTTCAAATTTCTTATATATGACTCCATATATGACCTTTCCCAATCTCACCTACTGCTTTTACCTTTTCCCAAAAATTACCTTCTATATTTTGCATATACTTAAGCAACTATGTGGCACAGTAGATAGGGCAACAGCCCTGGTGATCAGAAGGTGCAAACTGAAATTTGGCCTCAGACATTTACTAGCTATGTGACTCTGGATAAGTCACTTAACCCTGTTTGCTTCAGTTAGCTCACATGTAAAATTAGCTAGAGAAGGAAATGGCAAACCACTCCAGTATCTTTGCCAAGAAAACCCCAAATGGAGTTACAGCAAGTCAAATATGACTGAAACAACTCAATAACAACAACTGGTAAGTCAGTGTTATTTCATTGTATAGAATATTAGCTTGTGGATGGCAAAGCCTGTCTCATTTATATCTTTATATCCACAATGCCTAGCAACATAGTAACTACTTAATAAATGCTTATTTATTTATTTTTGATAGATTCTGGATGTGATTAATAGAAGAGGACCACAGTTTGACATGCAGTGACATAAAAGATCAAGTTTCAAAAGATTCAAAGAAAATTTAGTTAGAATATAAAAACCTAACGTTCTGCTAGGAAGATTGGCCCAAGAAGGATGAGAGTCCATAAGAATGAAATCATTAAGAGTTAAATAGAAATTATTTCAATGAGGAAGAAAAAAAATGTTTAAAGAGATTGATATGGATGCACAGAAGACTCATTAATTAACTTTGATTTTAAGAAATGTACAAAAGATGTTAATAGCATGTAAAGATGATGAAAACAGAGGACAATGATTCAATTTCTCATGTTTAAATAGTGTCAGGAAAAAATATTCATATCAGCTCTTTTTGTGGTGGCAAAGAAGTGGAAATTGAGAGGATGCCCATCAATTGGGGAATGGCTGAGCAAGTTGTGGTATATGAATGTAATGGAATACTATTGTGCTATAAGAAATGATGAACAGGCTGACTTCAGAAAAACCTGGAAAGACGTATATGGTCTGATGCTGAGTGAAGTGAGCAGAACCAAGAGGACTTTATACAAAATAACAGCCATGTTATGCAATGACTAATATTGTTAAACTGAACCTTTCTCAACATTACAAGGATCTAACACATCCCAGAGGCCTCAGGATGGAAAATGCTGTCCACATCCAAAGAAAGAACTATGGAAGTCAAATTGCTATCACTTTTTTTACCTTCTGTTGAGTTTTGTTTCATCTTTCTGATGGTTTCTCCTATTGGTTTTAATTTTTAATCACAACTTCACTAATGTGAAAATATGTTTATTGGGTATGTAAATGTAAAGCCTATATCAGATTGTGCGTCATCTTGGGGAGGGTGGGGGTGAGGAAGGAGGAGAAAAATTTTTAACTTAAAAGCATATGGAAGTGATTGTTGATATATCAAAATAAATTATAAATAAATAAATAAACAAATAAATAAATAAATAAAGTAAGTAAGTAAATAAATAAATAGTGTCAGGAACACTATAATCTAGAGGGGTCTGTTTTGTTGTTTTTGTTGGTTTTTTTAAGCTAAGGAGGCAAGAGAAGGTTTTAAGAAGAGAAAACAAATGAAAGTCAGAAGGCTAAGCACCACTCACATATTTATTTTGTTTTCTTTCTCCCAAGGATAATGAAGTTTGCTCTAGGAAGAACAGAACTATGGTCAAAGATAAGTTGAAAATGAACTACAATGGAGGAAATGGTAAGAGGGCACTTGATTGTCTCACATGACATTCAGTTAAATGATTCCAAGTGTTAGAAAGAGGTAAGCATTTGGCCCTGGTATTAGAAGATTTGCTTCTGACATTGTGTAACCTTAGACAAGTCACTTAACTTGCCTGGACTTCAGTGTCATCATCTGTAAAATAGAAGAGGTAAAGGAGGAGAGATGGACCAGATGGCCTCTGTGGTTCCTTCAAGTTGTAGGTCTATGGTTTTATGAACTATATCTTGTGAGACTGAAAGAGCTAATAAAAGAGATTGTTGAATTGGCCATCTTTGAAAGATCACTGAAATCACTAAAGGTACCTCAGGCTTCCAGGAAGAAAAATGTCCCATTTTTTAAAAGGAAAATTTTGTAGTGCTACAATATTTAGTCCATTGAACTTGACTTCCACTCCTGGCAAAAATTCTAGACACATTATTGAAAGGATGAAACAAATTTAAAACCATGTTTTTGCTAATTGGTTCTAGCCTTGACTATCCCTCTCCTTTCCAATTTTCCAAATCTAGGATTATTTGAATTAATTCATAGACAGAAAGATACACATATCATAGGATTTTTAGGGCATAAAAATAGTCCCAATTTTCAAGTAGAAATCAAAATGAATTTTGATAATTTTTTCTAAGCTTACCAGCATGTAAAAGTGTTGTTTTGGGTTTTTTTTGCTAAATCAGGTTAATGATTCACACTTATTTATTGATGAATGCTAAATGAAGATATTACTTTAATATTAAGTCTGAAGTGTATATCAAATCAACCATCAAACACACATAGAAAAGAAATATTTCTCATAAAATTCATTTTGATGTATCTAGAGACAACTAAGTGGCATAATGGGGAGATCACTTGACTTGGAATCTGGAAAATCTGAGCTCATATCCTGCTCCAAACACTTATTGGCAACATGAAGATGATTAAATTGCTTTCTTTATCTCTCTCAGTAACCTTACCTGTAAAATGGGGGTGATAAAAGTACCTACCTAACAAATTGTTGTGAGGATGGGTCAAATGAGATCATATATTCCAAGCACTTCACAAACTTTAAAGTGCTATATAAATATTAGTCATTATTATCCAGGTTTCTTCAGCCATGGCATATTTTTAGTGAAAAACTTGGCATAGTCATTAGAGAGCTGGCCTCAAAGTCAAGTAGACCAGACACATAGTGGTTGTGGGACCTTATACAAGTCATTTTACCTCTCGGTGCCCAGATCTTCACAGTCTTCTAAAACTGTGATGTGGAATGAAGGCACCAATATGAAATGGTAAGAGCTTCCTCACAATGAGTTCCTTATGTGGTTAAAATCACAGGTATGGTTTTAAAAAATGTCATTTCATTAGCCCTTTTATCTACTTGAGAACAGAGTTGTGAGTTCCCCTGTAATTACATTTAATCATTGTTTGTGTTCACCAGCTTAATTTCTAGGAATACTGTGAGAATTGTAAAAAGCACTGGATTCACTTTTAAAATATATACTCTATAGACTGAAGGCAAACATCACAATACTACTTGCCCTCCTCTCCAAAAAAGCAGATGCTTGAGGCCAACCTAGCAAATAAGATACAAAAACTGATTTACTCATGAGTCTTTTTTTAAAAAAACAAATATTTATTAATTATATTTGGCAAATCCTAGAAGATTGTAATTATAATTGCTGACATACATATATATATATACGTATATATACACATATGTACACATATATATATATACACACATATATACATATATATCACTATAAAGAGCTTTACATGCATTACCTCATTTGATCTTCACAAAAATTCTGGGAGAGAAGTATTACAGGCACGATTATTCCCATTTTACAGATTGGAAACTGGGCAGCAGAGAAGCAAAGTAAGTTACTCATGTCCACACAGTTAATAAGTATCAGAGCCAGGTTTTTTTGGCTTCAAGTCCAGCTATCTTTCCACTACATTACAAAGATAATGGTGAAAGCACATTCTCTTATAACATTTATCTAAATTAACTCTATTCAGAGGTTTGGAGTTATGATTTATTCAAAGGACACTATGATTTTCACTTACTCTCTTTCCTTCCACAAAATTTTCTGAGATTCATCCAAATGAAATTTCAGAGTTGAAATCTGGGTTAATTCCTTCTCCAAAGGTTGTGCTACATTATCCAGCCTCAATGCAGGTTTTGTCACACAGTTGCCAGAAAGACCTTTTCTAAAGAAATCAAGGCCTTGTAAATTCAAATCCTGGTTGAATCTTACTGGGTTGGCAACCACTTCTATTTCCTAAAGGGAAAAATATAAAGACACATACTAAGCCAAAGCAAAAATAATTTATTAGGTTACTTAATGCCTGGTTTTACTAGTATCTCAGGAGAAATGTGGGAAAAAATAATTAAGCCACATTTTCCCAGTTGAGCATATTCAAAATAACATTATTATCTTCGTAGTGTACAAAGCTGTTCTTTGTTTTGTTTTGTGGGAACTTGGGTTAGGACTTCCCCATTGCTCTGGATAATTCCAAGTACGGAAAATCACTTCACTTATGCAAATCCTCAATTCAATGATGACATACCAGTATTGACATAATTGAGTAGAAATGAGTGCCATTAAACCACACATGAGGGTGCTTGTGGGTACATACAACAATTACAACAACAAAAAAAACCCCACTAATTATTGTGTTTTATTTAACTTTAAAAAATATTTCCCAATTACATTTTAATCTGTTTTGGTCTCAGGGCAGGGCCATGTGTTTGACACTTCTGTGTTACACCCTCAATAAGTTCTCTACAACACTGGGGATAGGAGTATCTATATGGTCAGATTTGTGAGGGAGAAGAGTCAGAATAGGAGTGACAGCCCAGAACACAGAAGAATTAAGAGACTAGTGATGATGGCAAGGATGAAGGTTTTGAAGATATGAGGAACAGGAAGAGATAGAATGATGAAATATTGTGACCAGATGGGGAAATTTCAGAGTTCTTAATAATGGAAGTAAAACATTCATGAGTGATGGGAAGAACAAGGTATAACCATATATATGGTTGAGAAGCAGTGAAGGTCATGGGAACTGAAAAGGTTGATGTCTTTGAGGAGATGTAAACATTTAAGTCCCCAAGTCAGCGTCCAGTTTAGTACTAGAATGAACAAAACCTACCCATCTTATGTATCAATGGCAACAAATACTAAACATGCCAGTTATCTGTGTAACATTTAAATGTATACTTGTTATGAATTTAAAGTGAGAAAAATGAATTTGTTAATATCTGAGTTCACATATCTATATGTACTACAAGATAAGAATAAATCAATATATTAGATCTCCTTTTAAAAAGAGTATGTGGAGGCAGTAGTGCTTAATTTTATTCTCTTTTCTTCATAAGAAGGAATATGTACTTGTCATTCTGTGCAATAATTGTCAAATAACAAATGGGATGTGTGTAATGCACTAAGAAAAATAGTAAGCAGAGACAATGCAAGCACAGCCCTTCTCGTTATGCTCAGAGTTGGCAGAGGAAGCTGCTCTAAATCAGAACAGCTGCTTGAGACATCTTTTACATCTGACGGGGATTCATTTCCCCTAAATCCTGAAAAAATTTCAGACTTAGATACTTTCTGAATTTATTCATATTTTAAATATATTTATTTATATTATAAATTATTTGAGGTAACACCCCTCTCTTTTTCTGCTGCCTTCCCACATAAAATGGCTTCTCACGTGCCCTATTAACAAATTAGCAAATGTTAAGTGAATTAGAATCCCGTAATTTATTCTACAAGCATACCCTTTGCTCTACTTATGTAATTTATCAGTATCTATTATACAACTCACGGTTAATGGAACCTCATTGTCATGAGGAAACACAGAATTTCACAATTTAATAGATCACAAGTGGCAGTCTTCTCTAAATCATATCTGAGAAAAGAATATAACACGCCTGACAAGTGGTCACCTAATCAATACTTTAAGACCACCAGTGGGGAGAGTCCATACCTCTATAGGCAAAAAAATCATTTTACTTTTGGACAGTGCTAATTATTTGGAAGCTTTTTTTCCTCACTTCAAGCTTTAATTTACTTCTTCACAACTTCTACCCATTGCTGCTACCATTATCCACTTGCCCTCTCCCCCAAAAAAGGAAAGGGAAAATAAGTCTAATTTGTTTTCCATGTACATCTTGTCAAACATGTTAAAACTATTACCATCTTCCACACTCTTTAGTCTTCTCTTCCCTAAGCTAAGTGTCTCCAGTTCCAACTCATCAATATATTCCATGAACTAAAAACCCTTCACCATTTTATTCTTCTCTCTATAACATTCCAGCTTATCAATGTTACTCTCTTGTTCAGTCATTTCAGTCATGTCTGACTCTCTGTGACCCCACTTGGGGTTTTCTTGGTGAAGATACTGGAATAGTTTGCCATTTGCTTCTCCAGCTGACTTTACAGATGAGGAAATGAGGCAAACAGTTAAGTGACTTGCCGAAGGTCACACAGCTAGTAAGTGTCTGAGGCCAGATTTAAACTCAATAAAATGAGCCTTCCTGACTCTAGGCCCAGAACTATGATACTTAGCTGCCCTCTATTGTTACTCTAGAATGTGATAAATTATAGTATATTCTCAATGTTACACAGAATACTATTCCTGAATAGGATGTTATAATGTAAGCCTAAAAATCTGAGTACAAACAGTAGTAATTTGGGGTAGCTAGATGGCGCAGTGGATAGAGCACCAGACCTGAGTTCAAATTTGGCCTCAGACTAAACATTCGACACTTACTAGCTGTGTGACCCTGGGCAAGTCACTTAACCCCAATTGCCTAAAAATAAAAAACAAAACAAACAGTAGTAATTCTGATCTTAATTTCATTAAGTTCACATGCACACACATGTACTTGCTACCCCTTCCATATTATACCTATTACCTTTATCTTCCCTAAAGTCCCATGGAACAGCTTCAAGTTTAGAAGTGACATTGCACATTTTTCTAAACACTGAAGTACCTTTTCAGATAGAGGATTAAACAGAGATAGAAGAAAGTGATACATAATGATCCCTTAATGAAGTAACCAATGATTACTTCTGACCCTCTCATTCCATAGGCTTATTCTGAGCACTGTTTATATAGTTTTGCCCTACTCTATCCCTAATTGCCACTGCAGAGAAATGGAAGGGGGCCATATAGTATTAAGGGGAATTTTGTATTTTTTTAAAAAATATCTACATAGCTCTTTAATACAATAAAAACTAAGTTATGTTGAAACTTATTTTAAAAGGAAAATATTTGAAAAATGATCATTAGAACATGAGATTATCCTACGACAGTTGCCCTTTACCTTCTTGCTTATATCTTCTTTGATAGAAACCTGTGTTTTTCCCAAATTGATTCTAGGAGGACCATATTCCTTGGAAGCCACTGGAAATTGAGCTTCTTGTGGACAGGAGCCTTCTACAAAACCAGGCTTTTCCTTCCAGATGACTTCAGCATCCAGTGTCTCCTTTTCATTTAGTGAGCTTTGTTTCTTTTTGAGGGCACTCAATTCCTTCATTGCCATCTCTAACTTAATTCTGAGCTGCCGTCCTTCCTCCCTGGCTTTATTCCTTTCTATTCGGACTTTACTCCATTTCTCTCTCCAGTTGGCGGTACAATCTGACCACCAGCGCATGGTCTTTTCCATCTGGGCAGCTCTAGCCTTGACTTCTTCAAGTTCTCGAACTCGAAGCTCTTCACAGATGTCCCAGTCATTGCTGCTGTAAGAGTGAGCATAGAAGTTCTGGGCACCACGTGAATACAGGCCTTCAGGTGGTAAGTAAGAATTGCAGGAGTCATAGAGTGGTGAGGCAGGTGTTACTGGTTCACAAGGTGATCTCAGTGAAGATTGCTGGAGCTTAAAAATCTGTGTTTCTTCAATTAACTTGTGGATGGAATCGAAATTCATTTTTTCACTACTTATGGCCTTTAAAAGAGAGGATAACATTAGTATACATTTAGTCTAATGGCTATGATATCCAGATTTATTTGGCAAAAAGTAAAATGTAATAACATCACGTGTAACACCAGGGATGTTTTTCACTGGGTAAAATAAGGAAATGCAGATTTTTATGGATTTAATACTTATGCCCTCCCCCAAAGAAATTCATCCAAATTAAACATATTTAAAAATCAAGTAGGAAAGAATGCTATTTTAACTGTTATGGCACACAGCTAGTCCAGTATCCCCCTGCCTGGAATATTTTGTATCTCCTTTCTTCTCTTTAGTACTAAGTTTCCTTCAAGGACTGAATTCAAACCCCTCTACTCCATAAATGAAGCCTTTCCCAGTATCCTCTGCACATGTGATCTTTCACACCATGGAAATTATATACTTATGAATTCTATTATTCATTTTGCACTTACCTATTAGATCTTGAAATGTCATTTATTGCTTTAGGTATATTTTTGGGGAAGCCTTGACTGTTTATTAAATAAGTCTGACTAATATTAAACAAACACCCTAAGGGATCAAAAAAGCCTCAAAACTCCCTTAACTAATAATCATTTGATTTGTTAATGCGATGAAGAGACATAGAAGCTAAAGGAATCACCAACTTAAAGTATAATGTAGAAATAGATTTGGAAAGAACCTTAGAGATCATATAATCTAAACTTTTCATTTACAGATAAGGAATTTGAGGCCCATAGAGGTTGTACCTTAGCCAAGGATCTCTCCACTGTACCACACTGCCTTGAATAAAAACTAGTTTTTAAAAAAAGTTTTTAAAAAGGGTGATAGGAGACAGTTATCAGTATTATCTCAAAAAATAGAAAATTAAAAAGCAGAAGATAGGCATAGGTAGATAGATAGAGGTATAGATATAGAGGACATAGGGAAAATATAGGTAATACAGATAGATATTGATATAGATAGATTTCATGTATATGTATATGTATATATACATATATGTGTGTGTGTGTATGTGTGTGTGTGTGTGTATGTGTGTGTGTATACTCTAAATTTTAATTCAATTTCATCTCATAGTCTGGACATTAGGAAATTATTTATGCACTTTTTTTCCACTGTGGATAGTTGTCTAGAACTCGCTTTTTAGTGATCATGTATCTCATTTAGGAGGGTCTGCAATATTCCAGAACATAGGGAAATTAGGATAATATAATCTGCAACCAGAAGTATCTGGAGAATCTCATAACTTATTGGAAATCTCTCTTTAATTCAGACTTTCATGATGGTATCAAATACATTTTACAAGTAAGATTCTTTGTATTGTTTCACTTTGATATTAACAATCAGAGTGTTATTGAGCAAAGTTATTTCTTTTTTTACATCTTTCAAGGAATTTTGCATCATATTGACATAAAAATAAAAATTTCAATATATATGTATATATTTTTTTCTTATTGGAGACAGGAGAATGTCTTGACCTATGATTTTATTAATTTAGAAAACTCTTAGTTAGGAAACTCCCTTTACCAATGCTAATCAACATCCATGTTTCAATTTATAATATTAGAGAATTTCCTAGGATTCTGAGAAACCACCTTTGCAGCATCACATATGTGGCAGAATATGTATCAAAGGCAGAACTTGTACACAAGTCCTTGGGGTTTTGAGGTCAGTTCTCTAGCTATTATGCCACAATACCTTTATTAATACTATCTAGAATTGTGTCAAAAAGAGAAGTCAAGGTCACTGGTCTGTAGTTTAAAGAATCTCTAAAGTCCTTTCCAGTGTTAACCTTCTATAAATCTATGAATATATTCTTATGGCATAAAATAGCTAATATTCCTTCTTAAATAGCTAACTTACCATCTAGCAGAAAATCTTAGAAGAATTTTCAGTGTGTAGAATACTATATTAAAAATAGTTCTGGGGCAACCACATAACACTCACCAGCTGTGTGACTCTGAGCAAGTCACTTAGCCCCAGTTGCCTCACCAAAAAAAAAAAGAAAAAAGAAAGAAAAAAAGAAATAGTTCCCTCCTTTCAAGTACAGGAGGAAAAGGACAATAAACTAAAGAAATATTCAACCAGTGTTGTCCTTCATGAAGATATACCAGTCCAACATTCATTTAAGATTGCATGGGAATTTGAAACCTGTATGGCACAATAAATCTCCAGGATCTTACTTCTTCAATTTCCATTTCTTTTCATTTCTTATGCTTTTTTCTCTAAATTTAATTATTCTAATTTGAGTTCCTCTTCTTTTCATAGTTAGTAAAAAGAGCTATGAGAGCGGATAAGTACTAGTAGTAGTTAAGGAGCTTTCCAGTGTTAATACTAGTTTTTCAATTCTCTTTGCTAATAATATCCAAAGGTATATAACAAATCTAATATTCATTTTTCTGATATCTGTCTCCACCTTTCCTACAATTATTTCCTTGTTACCTATATATCTGTATGTACATAGTAGAATTTTTTTATGTTGCATTATAATTGGAGAAACAAAATGAATACAACATGGACTTCTGGGTTTATTTACCAGAAAAATCAGATAGATACACTACATAACATTTCATTGTCAACCATCTAATCAAATGACAATTTCTACATATACTCTATATATACACACCTTTGCTCTCATTTTGTATTCGCTTCATTATATTTCAGATCACAAATATCTAACCAATCCATTTTTTCCACTAAATGAAATTCTAACAGTCCTGATTCCCCTGCCAGGATAGTCTCAATTCAATGAAACAGAGCCTATCAGATGTAAAATGAATATGACTTTCAGTTGTTGAAAACTCACATTTTAGCAAGTAAGCTGGACCTGTTCCAAAACCATTCACCCCTGAGTATAATGAGATGGACTTGTGGTTGCAATACTTTTGTTAGCCTTGGTATATATCCAATCAGATTTGAATAGCTTTTGATTTTCATTTATTCTTCCATTCATTTGCTGTAATTTGGGGGTGATTTGTAATGTAGCTTACAAATTTCTAGATCCATATATGAACCATGACCAATACCCATATTAAAAAACAAATAGAGAGAAAAACACTCAAATGGCGGACAAATGAATATCACTTGCCTATATAGAAGAGTATATAACACCTATCAAAGGATCTTCTTTTGATAAGACATTTGATATGTGACAATCATTTTTATGAGGGCATTAAACTCCAATTTATCAACTCTATACTTTAAAATTAACCAGTATCATAAATTTGCAGCATATTGTAAACTATCTCATTAACTTTTATTCCATTGATGATTTGCACACACTGTAATTGAATACTGGTACATTAGGATTTTGCCTACCAATTAGCTTTATCACAGCTGACTAAATAAGAAATGAGTAGGTTCTCATCATTCAGTACTTGGACTCACATCATTTCTCCTACTCCAAATATTTTGCACTAGAAGGGCAAAATGGATCTCTCATTTAATTATCTAATCTATCACAACAGGATACTTGCCTTATTAAATATTGATTGAAACGCATTTAAGAATTATATTTCTCTCCTGCATAATTAACATGACTAAGCTCTTCACATGAATATAAACATTTTATTAAGAGTATATGTTTATGGAAGTATAAAACCTTAAATGAAAGCAAGTCTATCAGAGAGCAATCTACTCTTGTTGCTTTTTAGTGATGCTATATTTACTTTTTAGGATCCTCATAAAGCTAAATTTAAATACAACATATATACTATATATATATATAAATGTGTGTGTGTATGTGTATATGTGCATATGTACATTTGAAATATATATATGTTGTATATGTATGTATATGTATATGCAGAGAAAGAGATAGAGGGAGTGAGAGAAAAAAAGATTGTGTATAATATATAAAAAATCAAAGTGAGGAAGAACTGAGCCCTGACTCTGACATATACTGGTTATGTACCATGGACAAAACAGGCTATTAAGACCATAAGTTGCAAAATAATTTCAGATGTGCAATGGTAGAGGGACTCCCTTGCCCTGATGAAATCACGGGTCTAGAACCTCCAAAATGATTGCAATAATTGCAATAATATTCTCACTTAAAAGAATGAAAACCCTACTTTTTTCCATGTGCAGTAAGGCTTACTGCACATGGAAAAAAGTAGGGTTTTCCCCAGTGCCGATGACAAAGTTAGTTTTCAGAAGAGCGTAATTCTTTGATAGTCATTATCAAACAATATCTTGGCTGGTTTCTGGGGGAAAATGTTTTTGTAATAAAACTAATGAGCTTCTAATACTGTTTGTCATATGATGAATGCTAGAATTGGAGTCAGGAAAATTGAGTTCGAATACAATTCTAACATTTATTATCTTGGAAAAATCACTTTCTCTGAAACTTATTTTCTTTATCTGAAATTTAGGGATAGTGATAACTGTAGTATTGACCTCAAAGGAATGTTTGAGGATAAAATAAGATATCATTTGTATAGTGTTTTGCAAGCCTTAAAGTTCTATCTAAATATCAGCTATTATTATCATGTACTTTCCATTGAAGTATTTGTTAGAAATCTGACAAGGAACAAATTAGCTACAAAACATAGGACTAAAGGACTCCAAATTGGATTCCAAATAACGAAGTTGTTCCCTCACTTTTATACATAAGCATGTGGCACAAAAACCTCCATAAGTCTTTGGTAGAGTCCTGACCATTTAGCAAGATCTGCTAAAAGCAAAGAACGTATAACCATCTCCCTATGTGAATTACCTCATTTAAAACTAAAACCTTTTACCACTCTATGAGAAATTAAACTGGTGAAGGACAACATATCTGCCAGCCAGGTTGGGTAGTAGTGCTGAAAATCTGTTCATTTAATAACAGTGCCATTTTAATGTATATTCTCCACAGAATACATGGAGAACTCATCAACTCTTGACATTTAATCATATTGGGTTTCCCAAAAAACTTAATGCAGTTTTCAATATCAATAACATCAGAAGTATAAATTCAATAAACTTACAAAAATGACACTTTGAAGACTAATAATTTAATTTAAAAGTACTGA